CGAGACTGCAGCCGACAACTATGGACCTACCTGAACCGCAATTAGCGGCCACAGCGGATGACCTGGACTGACCCCGGATCGACTCAAATTACAGTTGTCAATTAGCCATTACGCCATTGCAACTGTTAATTATGTCCACCACGATGTGACGTAAATTGCAACTACCGATTAGCGCCCCCACTAGATGACTACATAACTGTATCAGCATTTTGAACTGTCAACTGTTGTTTGCACATTTTTCTCAAGTCTGACGACGACCTGGGGATCCGGTGTCGAAAACTTACGAAGACATTTACTATCTTTCCCAAAGGACGCCTTTCCTTGAAAAAGTGCAAGTTTCTATGCGACTGCCTGCAAGGGCTCTAGATTAAGCTCCAAGATAAAATGGAACGAGCATGTTCCGTAACCAGATCGGTGAGCGTCCTACCATTCATTTGGATACTGTCCCAGACGTGCCTACACATATGTGCGTATCTTGATTGGTTGGTCACGTTTGCTCTTGCAATTACTTTAACTTCTTCCTATATCACTCCTACAGGCATACAAGACTGTTCTCAGTGAGGGTGGTGGCAAAATGTCGGGAGGACAGAAGCAGCGAGTAGCAATTGCAAGAGCCCTGATTCGAAATCCGCGAATTCTCCTGCTTGATGAAGCCACTTCGGCTCTGGATAACAAATCGGAACGTGCCATTCAGGCCGCCATCGAGCGCGCCGCACAGGGTCGCACGGTCCTAATGATCGCTCATCGACTCTCCACTGTTAGGAGCGCCGACCAGATTGTTGTAGTGGACAAGGGTGAGGTGAGGGAAATGGGCACCCATGAGGAGTTGCTGGCCAGGGGTGGTGTCTACGCCACCATGCTTTCTAAGCAGGTGAGTTTCATCACTTTGAGAAGATTAAATGACAGTCTGCCAGTGTTTTGTAGACGGCGTCACCTCAGGTTGGGTTTACACATATTCGCTCTAGCCCTCAGCAAAACTTTTCTTTTTGCATTAGAGGTCAAGTTTTCGACTGGGGTATCAGGCAAAAGTAGTTTAGATAGTCCCACTCATATCCCTAGTCCAAGCATTTTTTTCTACGAAAACGGTGGTTATAGGGTTTCGGGGGTGGTGAAATAGGATAGGTTGAGAAGAAATTTTTTAGACATAAGTGTAAAGTAAAAAAAATATGGTCGAAGTTGTTTCCCGCGGCCGCTGGAAGTAAGTTGTTCCGCATGTAAATTGAAGGTGTGTGCGGCGCTTCGCGCCGCGAACTATACTAGTCTAACGCCAGAATAATAAGTTGGACTTCAAGTCAGTTGACTTAGACGACTTCCTAACCACCATTTATATTTTGCAGAAATTTCAAGAAACCTGCAATTCGATAGTCGTTTCTTTTCCGCAATACGTTAAAAGATAATATAGATTAGGAAAATCTACAGATATAAATCAACAACACTTGCAAATACAATAAAATAAAAATGCATATAGCAGTTTTAAAGTATATTTCACTTTCCTAATTTCCCACACAAAAAGCCCTATAAACACCGTTTTCGTAGAACGGCATGCTGGAAGTAGGGATTAATGAAGGGGACTACATAAGCTACTTTTGCCGGGTATCACGCAGTCGAAAAGTCGCAACTTTTCATTTCAGTATCTTAGAAATGATGGTTTGGGCAGCTGTAACTGAGAGGTGAAGGATTCGGCCGACTGGATAGAATTTGAACCCCCGCCAGCACGGGCAAGGCTTGCCAACGCTCTAGCCAACTGAGCTATGAGGCGCCCACCCAGAGCCGTGAGTTTAATCACACTTGGGTCAAGTTATCCGCCCAAACTACTGCAACCTACTGGAATCCACCAGTCCTGATACAGTAAGCTGGGTGTCCAAGTAGGATTTCCTAAGCAATCAATCTAGCGTGCACTAGGTTCTTCCAGGCACGATTAGTTAGTAGGATGTTCTGGCAGCTTTGAGTAGTTAATTTGACCTAGCCCTTCAGCTGGTTAGTTGGTAGCCCATTGTTTGATCAAGAGTCCCCACCGGGTTCCAAACTGGGTGCAGTTTGGAGACGGAGAAAAGCCGCGACCTCAGCCG